ACGAGACCCGTTGATAGTCGATGGCGGACCAATGACGCGATCAAGGGCAAAGTAAGTGAAACAAGTGATGGGATTGCTCGTTCAAGAAACCATTGATAGAACCATGTTCGGGACTTAAAATGGAGCAACTTTCATGTTCGGGTCAAAGGCCGAATCAACGTGGATCAATTTGTTATCAAGCGACGAAATCGGAGGCTGAAAATAAGCCTATGCGACCGCACAGCAAAAACACCATGCGACCGCACAGTGGCATACCGAAACTTAAATTGGGATTTTTTGTGAACCATGCAACCGCATGGAAATACACCATGCGGCCGCAGAGGCCAAAAATTTGGCAAATTTTCCATATTTTGTTAGATTTTGATTCTTTTCCATATTTTGGAGATTATGCTCGACTTTTGCACGATTTTTACCTAGTTTTTAAGTTTAGTATAAATAGGAGTTTACATTCAATTGTTAAAAACTTTTTTGACATTATTGATATTGAATTAAAGTGAAACGTATTGTCTTCTCTTCATCGTTCTTCATTGAACAATTTCGAACTTATCAAGTGTTAACTTGTGGCGTTTAAACAACCGGATTTAACTCTTGGATTGCGTGATCAAGGGGCCTTTCAAGCGTCGTTCTTGTTGGATTTTTTGGTTCGACTTTCTTTTGGGCTAATCCTAAACTTTGGATTAATTTGGCTTTCTTGGGTTCGTCAATCTCGTTGTGGGTTTCGTAGTCAACGTTGCTAAGGGGTTCGCATCACACTGCCTGTGCCTCTCACCTAGAACCATGACTTCTTCCACCCCTTGATGGAAGAAGGTAGCCCCACCATGAAAGGTGTGTGTGCCCTCCCAAGGAATAATGTAGTATCACCCCTTAGACTCATCTTTGCCTAAGACTCGAGGCTAGAAAAGGGTATGGAAGACGTGTAGGGGCATATCGTTGCCTATAGAAACTTCCTTTCATAGGAAATACGAACCAACCAACTGGCTCCACCCATTTGATAGAACTTGGGTCGGCGATAGCATGAAGTTCCTCAGCACTGCCCTAAAGAAGGGATGTAGAGGAAGACACATACCTGCCTTGAATAGGTACTCACTGACTGCCACACATTTGGGCATCGAATAACAGGCCCGTTCGTGGGCCTCGGGGACTAATATTTCTAAGTAATGAGGTACAGTACCTCTCCCTTATCTCTCCCAACCTCTTCGAGGTTATATTTGAAGGTATCCTAGACGTACCCCATTCCTCATTATAATCCATGGGTTCCTTAGCCTATCTGCCCAACCTCGACATCCTCCCTAAGAATAGTCTTAATCCCCAACCTAGCAACGGTGTCTAAATCCCTCTCGGAACCGAACGCCTTTTAAATTATGAAACAAAAATCGAAAGTTCTGATTGAACAAATGGAATACCTACAGAAGTGACTAAGGGGTCGAAAAATGAGTCTGGACACCGAAAATTCGAGAAAATGTAGAGAAAAATTAGAGAAATCAAATGAAGAAAGGTTCAAAATAGAGCTCTTGGCATTTTATACGTAGCCAAGGCAAACCTCAGCCATTAGATTGAGGCCCAACAAATCTCAGCCTTTCATTTTCTGCTTTAATTCAAGGTGTAGAATTCAAACCATCTCAAAGAATAACGCCTCAGATTCTAACATGCCTCCCCCTACCTCTCCAAACGTGTTGCCTTCTAGAAGCTCTAGCTATTACCATCATTGCATATTTAATGTAGCGGCTGTACGTGCCTTGGAAGTCCAAATGGTTCGACTACCTTTTCTCAAAAGCATGCACAAATCATCAAATCATTGGTACATTGATCTAGGACCAATCATTAACAGTGAGCTTCAGCACTCTAATCTTCACAACCTTGACCAGCCATCCTCACAAGCCTCGACAGATTTAGCCTTCACAAGCTTTGGCAGGTTTGATCCGCTCACTGCCTCAGCTCGACATCACATTTCAGCCACATCTTCACAAGCCTCAGCAAGTTCGATCCACTCACCGCCTCGACTTCAATATCCCATTTCAGTCGCATCTTCACAAGCCTTGACAGGTTCAATTCACTCACCACCTCGGCTCATTCATCACACCTTCACCAAATCAGCGCAACAGTACATTTCTAACTCTAACCATGATATAAATGACCATACTTCGACTTGGGAACTATACTATTTAGGGTTGAAAATTTTACAGATTAAAACGAGTTCACTTTAAAGTCCATGCATCACATAAATGACCATACTTAGACTTGGGAGACTATTGTTACGTGTCGATACACTTGGGCGACCCATTGGGGGGCCCATGGCCCACCCATGTCGAATCGTGTGGCATCTTGGATGAGGCCCCTTGATGTCAGTGAAGATTGACCAACACCAACAAATAGCTCCTATTGCGTGGCCTAGGTTCTATAGGCCAAAGTGCAGTAATCAAGGTGGTATACATAGCTGAGGCTCTTCACACCGAGGCTCTGTAGGCCAAGGTGCAGTAGCTGAGGTGGTATACATGGCCGAGGCTCTTCACATCGAGCCTATTATACCTAAGCCCATGATAACTGGCATCACTTCTCCCTAGAGATCCGATCTTACACAAGGATCCTCTTTGAATGATTGATGGGACACCCATCATGAAGTGCAAGTGTTTTGTCTTATCAAAGTAACGAAGGCTCTACCAATGTACTGCAGGCTAGATGATCAAACTTGATGCCTACAATTTGACATGTAGATTAACAAGATGAGGCCACGTGTACCCCCAATCAAAGGCCATGATCTGACTTGTAACACTATAAATACTCCCCCATGTACCCCATACAAAGGCTAATGCAAGATTTAACACAAGAACAAATACTACACAACATTCTTTACATTTTACTCTTTTGTAATAAACACGAGTTCATATACTTATTAAGCAGATATCGATTGGTAATTATTGTACAATTGTTATGCAAATGTCTTGTTGGATTTCGAACGTTCTCATCCCGTGCGTTTGAGTTGCTCCCACGTCCTTGATCTGCTAATTTCAGATCATTCACGTGTTTTAGCGTGTTAGACCAGGCTTACGTGTACGCGGGTGGGTCCGACATCTATTGGTAACATATTCTGGGGTCAACATAGCCTCTGCACAAATGAGATTTTACAGTAAATCGAAATGTTTATAGCTCCAAAAACTCTCAAGTGGTCAATAAATGCTAATATAACTATAAAATAAGAAGGAAAATTTTTCTCTCCACAAACAAATGCACAACAAAACTCCGAAAAGTTTAATCCTAATTGTAAGTGCAGCAAGGGCATTATATTCTTTCCATCCTCACAACGTAATGTATTCCTAATAGATCTCCTTTAGCACCCTTCATACGAAAAAAACAATGGCAAAGAAAATACTATTCTTTTGAAGTTCAACATCTAGGTTTTCTTTGTTGTTAACTTATTAAAATGTAGAGTGAATAGGGACAAGAGCAGACTTATACTACCCAGACGAGCATCTACTAGTCAGATCAGAGGATTGGAGATTTTGATTGGATTTCAACACCGGGGATAGCCTTTCACTTATCTGGGGGGTTCCCTTATTTAAGGATACCAATAGGAGTTTCATTTATGATGACCTTATTCAGAAGGTCAGGGACAAGATCTCAAGCTAGGCTTCATGATTACTATCATATGGGTGTTACATTAACTTGCCGAGATCGGTGTTTTTTTCCATACCACTACATCTTCTTCAGATCATGCAGCCCCCTAAGGCTATCCTGAAGATACTCGAGAGCATCTTTGCGAGATTCTTATGAGATTCTAAGGATCAAGCATGACGTTTACATTGGAGGAGTTGGAAAGAGATTTGCCTTCCTATTGATGAGGGTGCTCTGGGCTTTAGGAGATTACAATTATTTCGCTCTTAGCAATCTCATTGGGCCTAATTATTACTGTGGAGCTCCATCATGCCTAACACTGTCTTATTCTTTTGCTGGGGATTATTATAGGACCTCATATCAATGAATGTGGTTATTCAGAGGAGAATTAGGTATCAGTTGGTTTCTCGATGTCGGTGTTGCTCTGAGATTGAGACCATCAGTCATATCTTCACTAGTAGTAGCATCTTTGATCATGTATGATAACACTTTGGGGATATATTTTAGATACCTATGTAATCAGGAGAATGTCAGATGGAGGTTCTAAAGATGAAGGTATTCTGGACAGTACGTTCGAAATGGACACATTCGCATTATCATTCCTTTACTGATATTCTGGTTTTTATGGATCGAAAGGAATGATTCAAAACATAGTAGGATCTGCATGGTGGCCAGACGTATCATTTGGAGGGTCTAACATACCATTTCTTTTTTTCATATGGGAGGACTTTTTAAAGTTGTGCACTGGCAAGGGAACTCGACATTTGCACCATTCTTTGGCATTTCTATGAGTCTCCCTTCCCCACCATCACCTATTATGGTTGTTTAGCACACTACATCAGTGGAATCGTCACTACACCAAAAATGATCATTTGCAACACATAAAAGGCAACATTCGATTGTTAAGTGTTGCTAAAGGGGTCTACAGCAACATTCGAACAAGTAAATGTTGCAATTAGTTAACAAAATTCAGCTTTGGCAATATTTTGTAAATAGATATTGCTAATGTTGCCTTTCGTAATGTTTATCAAATGTTGCGAAATGTTTGACTTTTTGCAGCATTTATTAAACATTGTTAAAAGTTAAATTTATTGCAACGTTTAATAAACGTTGTTGAAACTCACCTTTTGCAATGCTAAATGGCCACTGCAAAAAATTTCCCTTTTACAACGTTTATTGAATTCTGCGAAAAGTTTGATATTTCACAACGTTCAGTAAACATTGCTAAAAAGTTAATGGATTTTACTTTTTGCAACATTTCATAAACGTTGCAAAAAAACACTTTTCGCAGCATTGACTGAACGTTGCAAAAAGTAAAATATTTTTGAACTTTTTACAACATTCCATAAACATTGCGAAAAGGGGAATTTTTAATTAAACTCCCCCCTCAAACAAAATAGAAGACAAGTTCACCCTAAATTCCTAATCTTCGTTTACAGCCTCGCTCTCAATCTCTCAGTCTCACTCGTCACTCACCGTCACCATAGCCGACGCCGCCTCTCCGATAGTCAACGGTGCTCTTAATCTCTCTTGTCTCTCAGTCTTCTCTCACAGCCTCGCTCTCAACAAATAATTAGAAATATTTAGTGCATCTCTCTCGCTCTCAATCTCTCACACACTTGCCAGCCCCCGCTTCTCCAGTAGTGCACGGTGAAAGCCCAAAGGTCGTCGCCACCGGTATTTCTAATTAATTATTGGTTTTGTGAAAAACGTACCGTGAGGCTCTTGAATTGTTTGAGATTTTGGAATGCGAGGATGATAATGATGTTAATTGTAGTACTTATGATTCTTTGGTGAGTGCTTGCATTGGTTTGAAATCAATTAGAGGTGTCAAAGGGGTGTTTAATTATAAGCTAAATTTTAGGTTTGAGCCGGATTTGTATATAAGAAACAGGGTGCTATTGATCACGGGAAATGCGGGATGATGGTCGATGCACATAGGTTGTTTGATACTATGCCTGAAAGAAACTTGGTTTCTTGGAACATCATAATTGGGAGGGGGGGGGGGGGGGGGGGGGGGGGGGAGCTTGTGGATGTTGGAGATTATGTAGAGGCATTTAGTAGGGATTACAAGGTGAAACCTAGAGCAATGCACTATGCTTGTATGATTGAATTATTAGGCCGAGAAGGGCTTCTGGATGAAGCTTTTGCATTGATAAGAGATGCTCCATTCAGATCTACTATAAACATGTGGGCTGCTTTACTTACAACTTGTAGGATTCACAAGAATTTTGTGCTTGGGAAATTTGCTGCTGAGAAACTTTATGGGATGGGACTAGAAAAGCTATCTAATTATGTTGTACTTTTGACTATTTATACGAATGTTGGGAAATTGGAAGAAATGGCTGAAGTCATGAAACCTTGAAGAGAAAACGGCAATTAGGAAGTGTTTACCTCATGTATATCAAACTAATGGCAGTAATAAATACACAATCAAAATTTGCTTTGCTAAATATGCAGTAGTAACATGAAAAATGAATCAGTTTTGTGTGTCGATGCTGATTGTAAGTTTTTTGAGACACCAAAGGCTCATTACGTCACAAAGCTTTAATATCGACATTAGCAGATGCTTGCATATTCAGCATTGAATTTTCTACCAACTTTTAAGCTGACATAATATCGTAATATATTTTACAGTTTCATAAGGTTAGATTTAACCATTGTCTTGTTGGTGCATGTTTTAGTTCTTTTGTAATTGAAAACTGAATGTTTAGTATATAGCCTTAAGTTTGTAGTTTTTCTGTATTATCTCAGTCTTAGCCGAAATAGTTTGTCAATTTAGATCGCAATGACATTGGATCAGAGCACTATGCTGCTAGGATTATTTACTATCTAGTACTAGCGAAGTTGAAATAATGTGCTTTTGAGAATTCAGGTTCTGACCCAAGAAATAGCTACGTGCAGGCAAGTATTGTCACTTCTTTATGCTGGGTAATAATTTTTGTGATCTTTGTAACTTGGCGGCAAAATGATCCATTTGGTTCATGGATTATTAGAATATTAGGTGAGAATGTGGAGGGCTGGAGGTTGTTGCTGCTGGCCTTGGAGGGTGAAGATCATGTTGAGAGTTAGAAACTCTGATTCTACCATCAAAAGCAATAAAATTGTAGAAAGAAAATAGACATAAGAACACTATTAAACCCAGAAAAAGAGCTAATTACATTTAAATGAACCAGACATTTTACTTATACAATTTTGAGAAATAGTCTGACTTTTCGATATTTTATAGGCTGACTTTTGGATATCTCCATCCTGTATGCCTCCTGTTGGTGCAAATTTAAACTAGCATATCATATTCACTTGAATCTTAAAACCATCACCATGTTTTCTCCTTCGATTCTGAGATGGTAAATGTATTGACTATTGATTTAAGTTTGTTCATTGTATTATATAGTTGATCTTCAGACATTTTTCCCAGTAAGACAACTCTTTTACCCATAACCTGTATTTGTTCTGGCCTGCTTATTTAAATTCATATCCATATGGAGTTTTGGCATGCATTTTGCTTCAGTTGGTTAGTTGGATAGTAAAATTTTGAGAATTAGCATTGATTAGTCTCATTGGTAAATTAACAATGTTCAGAAGAAAGGTTGTGGGGCCGTTGTAACATCTAATTAGGCGTTTATAGAAGCGATGATTAGTCTCATTGGTAAATTTTTATTCTTAGCTGAATTTTTTTATTCATTATAATGTAGAAGAGTGGAATGCCGACCCCTAATTTTTTTAACCTTTGTGGAAATTCTAAATCACAAAACCTAAACTTAACCTTTGTTCGTTCATTCTCAATGGTAAGAACAAGGTCAAATTTTGTATCAATGGTAAGAACAACGTTCAAGTTTTAATCTTGGTTTATTCGAAAGAAGTGCACTTGATGGTTTTGCATCCATGCCTGTGATTGTAATTCTGGCGAAAGTTTTAGAGGAAAAAGAGTTGTAGTTGTGGGATGTGGAAATTCATGCATGGAAGTGTCTCTTGATCTTTGCAACCATGATGTGGTTTATGAGTTTTCTTATTCAGGTTCATGTATTGCCAATGGTTCTTACTTATTTTTATTTGCTTTTCTTCTTGATTATAATTGGTACAAATGTTTAAAATGTGGTATCTATTTTGTCTCCTTTTTCTATAGGCCAGGACCAATATTTAAGGCACAGCTCATGTCGAAGATTGCTGAGAAGAAAATTAAGGAGGCCGATAGGATGGTTTCACACACTGCTTAGTTAGTGATTATTTTTTATTTATTTTGGGAAATGTATTGGATTTTTAGGTGTTTTAGAATTTTGGATTTGGATTTTGTACGAATATTGTTACATTTTAGAGTTTAATTAATAATGATTATTGGAGTTATTTGATGTAATTATTTTCTATTATGTTTTGTGGTTGATATATATGAATCACTCTACAAAAAAAGAAAAAAGAAAAAAAGGATCTACGGCAACGTTTGTTAAACGTTGTAATAGAGAGGTTTTTGTAACGTTTGTTCAAACGTTGCAAAAGATAGCTTTTGCAATGTTTAAACAAACGTTGCAAAAACTATTCAATCAACGGCAGCATCAACCTTTGCAACATACGTTAAAACGTTGTAAAAGGTCTTTTGCAATGTTTTTTGGTCATTGTAAAAACCTTTTTTTGGTGTAGTGCATACAAGATCAACACTGATGAAAGCATCAAGATGGATATTAGGGATTACCCTGGATGCTACATCAGGGCATTCTCTGCATCGTGCGACCCATGTTTGATTTTGGAGGCCTAGATCAGAGTTGTGCTGGACGGGATTCTGTTGGCCAAAGGACTTGGACTTTCGGGCATTTGGATAGAGTCAAACTCTACTACGGCCATCTACTGTATAACCAGAGGCCAATGCTTTCTTCCATACCACTTTGTCTTCTTCAAATTATGCAGTCCCCTAAGACTGTCCTAAAGAAACTTGAGAGCATCTTTGCGAGATTCCTGTGGGGTTCTAAGGATCAGGTGCGACGTTTACATTGGAAGAAATGGAAGGAGATTTGGTCTCCGTTTTTTTTGTTCTTCTCATTTTGTTTGTGAGAAATTGGAAAACTGCTACCGTTTCTAACCAAAATAAAATCAGAACTTAGTTGCACCAGTGTATGGATACTAACATAGATTTGAATTTTGTTTTGAAACCCTAAAAGACGTGTCTGAAATGTTCATTGAATCAAATAATTGTCGCATTTGTTTGAGAGAATAATCACTTTGTAGAATATAATACCGAATTAGTTCAATTAATGAATTTTCAGCTTGAGTTATTAAATCCCAGCCGATTATATTAAGTTTTGTTTAGATTTTGAGTGAAATTGAGCTGGTTTTGATTGAGATTCACCTCAACCGTTACAATTGATATCAGATGAGCAGATTATACTAGGGCTAAAGTTGTAGATGAATACTTGAAAAAACTAGATAGAAAAGTAGAAGGTTTGGGAGAAGCTATTAAAATGTGAGTAACAAAGCTTAATACTTGTCGTAATAAATAGTTAAGTTATTAATAAGCTACCCATTTTGAAGTAGTCAAAGATACGAAACTTTTTTCAAACATGTTTTTTTAAAACATGTTTAACATATTTAAACATGTTTGAAAAAAAATTAATAAATTAAGTTCGAATTACTTATAAAGTAAATAATTCAAATTATTAATAACTTTTTTAAAAATAAAAAATTAATAAAAGTACGTTCGAATTACACTAAGCTTAGCCAAAAGTGCAAAAGCATACTATGCCAACTTGCTTCAATCAAGGCGGCTGTAGGGAGAAGGTGGATGGGTTGTTATGCAACTGCTTTTCAAGATTCAAGGGTTTGAATTTTAACAATTTATTTTCAATAATTTTCTCGTCATTTCATCAATTGAGTGAACAAATCATACCATAATAAGGACATCCAGATTTAAATTTATTTCTGAATGATAAAATTCAAATTCTTGGATGGTTTCTTTTGGAAGAAACAAATTAAAGAAGCAAGCATCTCTAGACAAAAGTTAACCACATATTCTTTCTACTTAAATACTGTAAAACAAAGAAACTAAAATACACTATCCCTACAAAATCAAACAAAGAAACTAAAATACACTATCCCTACAAAATCAAGTGTTAATTTTGAAGAATAATATTCTTATATAGATAAATTCGTCACCAATGAACTAAACCCATGTGAAATTTTAGTCAAATTTGATAGGAAACACGTCAACGAATAAAATTCAGATGAAAATTTAGTCAAATTTGATTTGATACAAGTCAATGAACGAAATTCAGGTGAAATTTAAGTCAAATTTGATTGGAAACGCTCCAATGAACAAAACTCATGTGAAATTTTAGTCAAATTTGAGAGGAAACGCGCCAACGGAAGAATTCGTTTGAAATTTTAGTCAAATTTGATTCGAAATGTGCCAATGACAGAAAATCGTGTGAAATTTTAGTCAAATTTAATTGGAAACGGGCAAATGAACTAAATTCAGGGGAAATTTTAGTCAAATTTGACTGAAAACACGTCAATGAAAAAATTCAGATGAAATCTTAGTCAAATTTTATTGGAAACGTGCCAATGAAAAAACCTACATGAAATTGTGGTCAAATTTGATTCAAAATCTGTCAATGAACCAAAGTCATATGAAATTTTAGACAGATTTGATTGGAACCGCGCCAATAAACAAAATAAAGATGAAATATTGGTCAAATTTGATGTGAAACGCGCTAATGAACAAAATCCTGATGAAATTTTAGTCAAATTTAATTAGAAACACGCCAATGAACAAAATCCCGATGAAATTTTAGTCAAACATTATTAGAAATACGCCAATGAACCAAACCCATGAGAAATTTTAGTCAAATCTGATTCGAGACGTGCTAGCGAACAAAATTCAGATGAAATTTTAGTCAAATTTTATTTGATATACGCCAATGAAAGAAATCCAGGCGAAATTTTAGTCAAATTTGTTTTGAAACGCGCCAATGAACCAAACTCATGTGACATTTTAGTCAAATTTGATGGAAAACGCGACAACGAATAAAATTCAGATGAATTTTAGTCAAATATGATTTGATACACGCCAATGAACGAAACCATGGTGAAATTTTAGTCAAATTTGATTTGATACACGCCAATGAACGAAACCCAAGTGAAATTTTTGGTAAATTTGATTTGAATTGCACCAATGAAAAGCCACGTGAAATTTTCATCAAATTTGATTCGAAATGTGCCAATGAACCAAGATGATGTAAAATTTTAGTCAAATTTGATTGGAAACGCGCCAATGAACCAAATTCAGGTGAAATTTTAGTCAAATTTGATTGGAAATGCGCCAATGAGCCAAATCCTTGTGAAATTTTAGTAGAATTTGATTGGAAACTGCCTACGAAAAAACTCGCATGAAATTGTAATCAAATTTGATTCGAAATGGTCTAATGAACCAAAGTCATGTGAAATTTTGATCAAATTTGATTGTAAACGCATCAATGAACCGAACTCAAGTGAAATTTTAGTCAAATTTGATTGAAAATGCGCCAATGAACAAAATTCAGATGAAATTTTAGTCAAATTTGATTTGAAATGCATGAACGAACAAAATCCTGGTGAAATTTTAATCAAATTTGATTAGAAACATGCCAATTAATTAAATCCCGGTGAAATTTTAGTCAAATTTGATTGGAAAAGCGCCAATGAACCAAATCCTTGTGAAATTTTAGTCAAAGTTGATTGGAAACGAGCTAACGAAAAAATCTGCATGAAATTGTAGTCAAATTTGATTCGAAATGTGCGAATGAACATAAGTCATGTGAAATATTAGTCAAATTTGATTGAAAACACGCCAATGAGCAAAAACGTCTCAATGAAAAAAATCGCATGAAACTGTAGTCAAATTTGATTTGAAATGTGCCAATAAACCAAAGTCATGTGAAATTTTAGTCAATTTTGATTAAAAATGCACCAATCAACTAAATTCCAGTGAAATTTTAATCAAATTAGATTGGAAACGCGCCAATGAACCAAACTCATGTAAAATTTTAGTTAAATTTGATTGAAAACATTTCAATGAACAAAATGCAGATGAAATTTTAGTCGAGTTTGATTTGAAACGCACTAACGAACAAAATCGTGGTGAAATTTTAGTCAAATTTGATTAGAAACACGCCAATGAACTAAATTCTGATGAAATTTTAGACAAAATTCATTGGAAATGCTCCAATGAACCAAATTCATGTGAAATTTTAGTCAAATTTGATGGAAAAAGTGCCAATGAACAAAATTCAGATGAAATTTTAGTCAATTTGATTTGATACACGCCAATGAACGATACACTGGTAACATTTTAGTCAAATTTGATTTGATACAAGCCAATGAACGAAACCCAAGTGAAATTTTAGCCAAATTGGATTGGAATTGCGCCAATGAGAAGCCACATGAAATTTTAGTCAAATTTGATTCGAAATGTGCCAATGAACCAAAGTCCTGTGAAATTTTAGTCAAATTTGATTTGAAACGTGCCAATGAACAAAATGCATGTGAAATTTTAGCCAAATTTGATGGAAAACGTGCCAACGAACAAAATTTGGATGAAATTTTAGTCAAATTTGATTTGATACACGCCAATGAACTAAACCCTGGTGAAATTTTAGTCCAATTTGATCTGATACACGCCAATGAATGAAATCCAAGTAAAATTTTAGTCAAATTTGATTAGAATTGTGCCAATTAAAAGCCACATGAAATTTTAGTCAAGTTTGATTTGAAGTGTGCGAATGAACCAAAGTCATGTGAAATTTAGTCAAATTTAACTGGAACGCACCAATGAACCAAATTTAGGTGAAATTTTAGTCAAAGTTGATTGAAAACGCGCTAATGAACTAAATCCTAGTGAATTTTTTGTCAAATTTGATTGGAAACGCGCTAATGAACCAAACCCTTGTGAAATTGTAGTCAAATTTGATTCGAAACGTGCCAACAAACCAAAGTCTTGTGAAATTTTAGTCAAATTTGATTGTAAACGCGCCAACGAACCAACCTCAGGTGAAATTTTAGTCAAATCTGATTGAAAATTCATCAATGAACAAAATTCAGATAAAATTTTAGTCAAATCTGATTTGAAACGCACGAACGAACAAAATATTTGTGAAATTTTCGTCAAATTTGATTGGAAATACGACAATGAACAAAATCTTGATGAAATTTTAGTCAAATTTGATTGAAAATTCTCCAATGAACCAAACCCTTGTGAAATCTTAGTCAAATTTGATTCAAAATGTGCCAATGAACCAAGGTCATGTGAAATTTTAGTCAAATTTGATTGGAAACGCGTCAATGAACAAAACTCAGGTGAAATTCTAGTCAAATTTGATTGAAAATG